CTGATTATAATATTGAGTCTGGCAGTGACACTGATGATTAGTGATTCAGTTTGTTAATATTGTAATGTTATATGTGATCGCCCACTTCAACTCTGTTTAAAGCATATATTCATGCCAGCTAGACTGTGCAACTTGATAAATATATACACATAGCCATCATGCCTATATGCATTAGATTATGGTATATCATGAACTTAAAGTGTTTTTTCGTATGAACAAAAAGTATTTGCTTCATGAAATAATGTGCTCTGATGCAATGTTGTGCATCTGTGTAAGTCTTTCTTTCACTAAATGATGCTTGTGAATGAAAAATAATCAACATTTAATTACGTTTGTTGCGTATGAAACATGAGCATGTTTAAAAATCAACAAATGTGTTGCATTGTACTATCTTAAATGGCTGAAACTGATAATTTCGATGAATACATTCTAAACAAATGTGTTTTACAATATATTGGGTCAATTCCTGTAATTAGTATGTTTAAACTGAAAATACCAATACGCAACTTGTAAAAATCATTAAAATAAGTATAATTTTATCCAAATGAGATAATTAGCATGAATTTCAATACAGTTCAAAAGAAATTAAAATTCTTCAGTTTGATACCAGTTTGATATTTCTATCTTAAGAATTAAAGAAGTTATTGCAAAATCAAAATTCCTTGTGTTTTATTTCAATTTAATACTAGTAACCATGGAAACAGGCACTGTAAACGTATACCAGGCCAACATTCTTCACCACATCTATGTTTTTCTTTCAGAAGACATATGTCTGAACTAAAAAACACGGGAGGTGACTTGTTATATCACATGTGGGGGTTGCTCCCATTTTAGGCCCCTTTTTGGAAATGGACACTGGTCTAACAATTCATTGTATATTTTTAGTAGTTTTCTTTCTCTCTGTGTTATAGATATATACATCAATATGTCTTCAGCTACAAAAAACATTTATGACGATGTTACCTACTATTTTGAAAGCTTTAGCAAATTCTTATCTAAGGCCAAGATCGATGGAGCTGACATATGGAACGAACAGTGGTCAAAACTTACAGCACAATTCCCCTTCGAGGCTGATAAAGACATACGAATGTTGACTGTTGGGGCTGGTGCAGGTAACTTCGTTTAGAAATACTTACTTGTGCTTTCATTCATATATTTAAAAAACAAAACGTTTTTTTTTTTTTTTTTTTGCAATGATCATTTGTTTGTACTTAGGTTACAGAGAGTGTCTGATAATCCAGCATCTGTTAAAGAGACATAGTAGTATACACATCACCGTGGTCGAACCTGCACAGAAACCGATTGATGAGTTTAAGGTAAAAGCGGCAAAGATCACAAAGGAATTCCCCGGTGTGAGTTTTGAGTGGCACATTCAAACGTTTGAAAACTACCAAAAGGCCCACAGAGTATCAGACGATGAACGCAATGGGTCATTTCATCTTGTGTTCGCTGGACATAGCTTGTATTACATGGACGACTGGAAATATGCATTAATGGGATGTACAGTCACGTTCAATCAGGAGGGATGCTGGTGGCTACAATAGTCAGGGGACAAGGTATCTATCACGATGTAATGCAATAGATATATAATATAACTAAATATCTATACCGTATGCCAAGAGGTCACACTGAAGTAATTATATATATATAATCAAAATGTATTCATGGGTGTGATGTTGTCAGCTAAAACTCAAACATCTGACAACGCTTGCATGCTCTTCCTAAATTACAAATGCAGTAAATATGGAGAGGTTCTTTCTACGTACAGTCTGTATTTGGTTATAAGTCTACTCACCAAAAAACAGGAATTTGCTCTAATCTAACATGTAACAAATTTAAGTCTTCGGTATAAACAAAAGATTTCGGGCAATGTTCCCAGCTGTCATTAAGGCATACTTGTGTTATCCACTCTGTAGGGGGAATTACACCTCTGTCTCTTCTATGTAGTTCTTGATTTTTACCAGGAGTCCTTGATGATCAACAGGGGGGTAAACTACAAACTGCCAAACTACATGGCCAGTATTAAAATCGTACTATATGATAAGTACGTTAAATTAATGTTATTTCCTTTCAACCACCTAGGTTCGTTCGGTAAATTGATGAAGATGTATCGAAAGCTTGAAGGTTGCAGTCAAAGTCTCTTGACATCCGATGACCTCAAAAGTCATCTTAATAGGTGTTCTAATGTAGTGTTCGACCAGGTCGTGTATCGCGAAGATCCCTATGACATATCAGACGTATTCGACGAATCTTCAAATGAAGGGAATCTGTTACTTGATTTCTTGGTCCAAAGAAGTGGATTTAGAAAATGTGCTCCGTCGGATGATCAAGAAAAAGTGTTAACGTTTTTGAAAGACAATTCCGTGTTTGAAAATGGGAAATACTGGTTTCGTTGTGATGAAGAAGACGTGGTGGCAATGAAATGATGTGTTCTAAAAAATCGAATCGTCAAAAAATGTATCTCTAATAATATGACTGCTGGTAATAATATGTAAGCATGTCCATCTGTTTTTAATTTTATCATCAGTGTCCATCTGGTTCACATAAGTTGCATATATCGAAAATGCAGCAGTAAATCAAGCCATTAATTAATATTAATGCATTAATAACTAGTCCTTAAACTATATTTAATTATTCGGATTCAACTTATTAATTTAAATTCATGCAAATACTGTAAAACATATTTGAATAGCTGCACAACATTTTAGCGAATTTGACTCCATGCATGAATTAACTGAATCTAAATTTAGCTAAAGTGCCAACGATCTCATTGTGAGAATATACTTTATTTTAAATTAGTGACATCTTGAATTAGCGAAATTACAGATTAGCTAAATTAGCTAAAATAACATGCTAGCTAAAAAGACATGTTTTACAGTACTCAAAACAAATTAGAGATATCTAGGTTTGTCAATAGTTGTACCATAGTTTATATAATTGGTTGGCACAGGTTAAGTATAATTGTTATCAATAAGTTGCGGTAACAATCTAAAGGCGAAATTATGACGTAATACGGTTTTAGAAATGTATCTTCTTTCTTACAAACTCTGTATCCGTACTTTTGTATGTTTTGTTATCCTGATCTATGTAACCATGGTAATTGGAACTGTGAACATGATGACGGGGGCGGACACTATTTGAGAAACTAAAAAGAATTTTGGGTTTTGGCTCGCTTGTTAAGGTTGCTCAATGCAGTTTTCCAAACTTGGTTGTATTTGTAATTGGTTCGCAGGCGTGTTCGGGTGAGAACACGTTCTATCGCTCGTATATTAGCATAACGCGAATCAATGAAACTGCCATGTTTTATTTTTTAATTTTCTTTAAAAATGAAGTTTCAGACAAATTGTTCTTTTACGTTGAGTTTAAAATACCGGTCACATATAACCTTGTACAGAAATAAATAAGTACAGAAATAATATTTAAAAAAACGTGCGTGAAACTGTATTGGACAACTTGGACGAAATGTGGGTGGCCATTCACAAATAACCGAGTTTCAATCAATAGAGAATAAGGTCACCGCAGAAAAAAAAAACTATATATACTATATATCTTGATTTCATAACCTTCCATATACTGAAAACATTATATAAAGCGTGAATAGAACCATTTATTCAATGAACGGAAGAGGTTGGTCAGAATGAACGAAGACTGATAGAATACGCTTGTAAATTCACCCACGCTGTTTCAACTCTCCGTGGGTCCCATTTTTAACGATTACATAAAGCGTTGCAATTAAAGTTTGTAGCATGTACGCATCCTGCTGCGTATTTTTCTATTACAACAGAATCTTAAAACTAATATACTTTCATCGAATAAATTGTTCAGTAACCTTTGAATAACAGTAGCATCTCCCATGTGTTTTCACTTGCGTAGAAATAAAAAAAAAACCTTTGATATAAATGAATGGTATTTGCACAATGGCGGCTAATGACACATTTGTTTGCCAAGGTTATAAGGTTGTTAACTATTGTCCACGTGATAAAAGAATGCGAAAACATGCCGGATCGTTCGGAGTCGGATCATTCTGCTTTTCTAAAGAAGAGTCTAAGGGAAATTTCAAAGACTTCGATTGTCGATTTTAGGATTAGAAATATAGCTATATAACGATGGGAACCCGCATGACTGTTAAAAGCGATCGCTACGTTTGAAGAAGTGTCATAGACGGGCTTCATCTTAGAGGTATGTCTTGCTAAAACGATCCGGACTTTTCTCTTCCTAACTGAATAGTTATCCTGCCTCTCTTGAGAGCAACTTGTTTTGTCATTTAAAATGTTGATGAAGAACGTATTTACGTAATATAAATTGTCACGATGTCACAATGTAGACACAACTTTGTCGGTCACCGGAACAATATATTACTTAGTATCTATGATCCAGATTGATATACGCGGATTCGAACGTGTACCCGGGATTATCTTGGCTGCATATAAGTCAGAAAAGACAGGTAGGGAACGGACGGAACATAAACAAAATGCTCTGTGTCTGCCCTGCTTATTTGCATATTGGATATGACGCAATCACGTGGGAAACTTTTTGGATGAAATAATGTTTATGTAAAAATTAGAGGAACTTGTCGAGACCTCGTTGTATGGTATGTGCAGTGATATGTTTTAGTTGCGCCCCTCGGTTTAAAAAACCCTTCTTATTACTGGCGGTGATGAGATTGGAAGCCACCCAAAACCTGGCAGTTTCATCTCTTTCTGGTTCAGAGCCCAAGTCTACAAAGTTAAACGTAGAATTGAAACATCTCCGGGAATAAATAACTCGAAATTTGTTTGTGCCAATATTTTGTATTATTATTTTTTGTTATTTACGTCTATTATTTGTTTTACTTTCCGTTAATAGCGGCAAGTAAGACCAACAAAACCATAAATAAACTCAAATAATAATAATAATAATAAAAATATTGACTAACTTAGATGGTTGATGTGTTAGATGTTAATGCATACGACGATATCTGAACAGAATAAACCGTCGGATCCAAACGACCCGCGTCCTTGATAATCAAGTCATTTCAATGTTATTTCTTATATTTTTGCGGTTATTTCTGAGTTTTGTATTATGAGCCATTGAGAAGTGTGCATTAGTGACGGGCAAGAAGACATTCAATTGACTAAGTTCATACGCCTTCCAATTAAATCACGCCCTCTATGAGAAAGCGCTTATGTGGCGTAAAGGGGTTACCCGGACAATTCAAAGCGTCGATATTGTATTGTTTTGTAATCCTTCACTAATGTAAATTATATTTTTGAGGGATTTTTACTCTATTCTAGATGGCGAATGCTGACAAAAACACAATGGTTAATTTGAACAAAGCTGACTGCATCCAATACGTCATTCGGACGTCACAGATACGCCAGTCACTAGAGGGCACGCTTTATAAGTATGCCGCATAAATGTTGATTTGAAGTGTTTTTGTTGATTTGTTACATCTCGTTGAGTAGCGACCTACTTATTAGTGTTTTAGAACAGAAATATAATTCCACACTGTTTGAGTGAATGGTATATGTAAGATTAATAACTGAAATACGCAAAATGTCATTATTTTACCTCATGTTATAGTATTATTTGTGACCATATACCATTTGGCGACGCAGGTTTGTGTTACGCAAGTCTATGGGAGGAACAATAGAAATGTTGTGTCGTTAAAAAAAATCCCAATATCCGACAAATAATAACTTTAAGAAAATAAAATGTATCGGAAATTACTAAAATACCACCACAAAGACTAAACACCGACACCAGAAGAGCTATGGACCCACAGCTACCTTCCTATGTGTCTTTGCACTTTACGCAATAATATCTCTGCCACAGGGCTCCAATTTTATGGTCAATCGCCTTACTACGCACGGTTAGTTCTTTCACCTGAAAATGTACTACAAAATGTGAAGAAAAAAATTATATGACGACCGAACTATTTTTAAATGTCTGACTTCTTTAAAAAAACGTAAATACCAACAATTTTATCGCGGACTACGTTGTGTAAGGTAATGTTATTGTAGTGAAAAGGCACACGTGATACACTAAAACGGGCATGGAAAGAAATAACTCCCTGTATACTTAAATAGTTTAGAAGGAAATATTAAACACTGATTTTACTCAAAGGGATTCCGTTTATCTTGTTTTCTGGTGAATATTTCAATACTGCTTTGAACGGATTCGATTCTCCGTGTTAACAGCCACAGAACACAAAGCTTCAGGTCAGTTATTTATTGTATATGCTTATATCTTGACAACTTCGAAATTGAGGGCGTGAACGTTTCATTAAACTGATTGATGAAACCAGATGACATGAACATAACTGTGGTAACGGAGTTCGAACATATTCTAATATGCAAATGAGTTGCGCTGCTCTGTGACAGTGGAGATAAGTAGCGCGTATCGATCTGTTCGGAATAGGTGAAAAAGCTGCTAGGAGCGATACATATAATACGAAAAAAAGTAGGTAAGCGTAGTCCTTGATAATTGTTTAACCTAACCAGACGTTTCGAACAAACTATCCTTTCTCATAGATAATATGAATAGTGTGAGAGATCGTAGAAAAACAGAACAATAGTCTAAGAACAAAGCACACGTAACGACAAGAATAATAAAATATTACGAGCGCGTCCAATGGTAAACATCTGAAATGACGTTAACAGTGTATTCATTCCATTAGATTCCATAGTGCCATGTCTGAAAATAACTACGCGTCGTTGCCGCTAACAACACACCCCCCTGAAATGGTCATATCAGTCTAAAACGCTAGTATGCAGAACTAAAATGCAATGACGCCATTAAGGTAGAACCTTACTCAAGATTTCAAATACCCAGAACTTACTAATTTTCAATTAAATTGTTCTTTCAAGCAGTATAAGGATATTGACTTTAAAAATGTTGGGGTCACCAACTTAATTTTCGAGGAAATAATGGATAGTGGCCATTTTGGCAGTATTATAATGCTTTAACCATAGCTTCCCATGGCAGAGATAATATGCCATATCTTAAATTGTAGCCCGGTGACATAGACTGAGAAAATTATATATTGTGAATGATGGGGTAATTTCTGTTGTTCTTAATTATTTCAAAAAACTGGGTTAAAAAAGTGGCAAAAATGTATTTTTAAACATAGCGATTTTTGAAAACTATTACTATTAGTTCCTCAAAATGCGTCTCTGTAATGCACAAATACATGCTATTTCATGGTGCCATGAGACAACTGCTTCACGGTTTTACACAATAAAACAATGAGCATTTTCATGCGATTTATGACCAATTTTCTCAAAAATTATGAGTAGGCTTCTACCTTAAAGACGATATACCGCAAATTTTCAGCAAAGCGATTCCCAGCCGACGCCCTCTACCACCGGAAGTTGAGTTGGGGTTGACATGCAAGTCGAGTCGTCATACAGTTATCATCAGCTATTTTAATATCCAGCATACCACC